TGTGTGTGTGTGTGTGTGTGTCGTCTAGACACAGTGTATATCGAGTCACAATTGAGCGATACATGACCTGGATTTTCGCAATGCGTCCCCCACGCTTATCAGCCAAAGGTTTCGTTTACGACCTTTATCTACCGTACTTTTAGTCAAAGTTTTACCGCACATGCAACATCAAAAGGTCATGATATAAGTGCTGGTGATTAGACGAGTCACTAAACAAGGAGCAGAGATACAGGATCGACGAGGGGCATACCAAAAGTTTTTTACCTGACCATGAAGAAAGAAAGGTAGAAAGCTGAAATTTGGTACTAAGCTTAGTCTTTCTTTATGTAGTCGCCTCCCAGAGTTATAAATGCTTGCCGTCTGAGTATGACCTTGAAAAGACCTTGAGAATAGAGGACCCCCTCTATGTCAGAAAACCAGCTTTCTACCGCTTCTTTGACCTCATCATCACTTTTCTTACACCAAAAGTTTATCACAGCATGGGATGGGCAATCAGTTCTATATACGACATGCATCTCAGTAAAAAATATCCTGTAGTAGCCTGCCTTGCAAGAACAAATACTTCCTTACTGCCCTGCGCTCAATTTTCCCCTTTTTTTTATGTTGAAACTGGAGAACAACACACCCCCATTCACTTACAGTGCGCTGGTGGTAAAACCAGTAATCTAAAATTCCCCAAAATTTACAATCATTCTAGGAAGATGATTGTTGGCTTTTCACCCCAAATGTCAGCTTTTTACCTTCATTCCTTCATGGTCAGGTAAAGATAATTTTTAAAACGTTTGGTATGCCCCTCGTAGTTGTCTGATGGACAGTTACTGGCAACACTTTTGGTATGTCCCTCGTAGTTGTCTGATGGACAGTTACTGGAAACACTTTTGGTATGCCCCTCGTAGTTGTCTGATGGACAGTCACTGGAAACACTTTTGGTATGCCCCTCGTAGTTGTCTGATGGACAGTCACTGGAAACACTTTTGGTATGCCCCTCGTAGTTGTCTGATGGACAGTCACTGGAAACACAAGACGTCAAGAAAAAGTAGGGAAAACGGGCAAACATTTCAACATCTGTATTTCCTTACCTCGATGAACTGTACAGTAATGCTTGCATTAGAAAAATCCATTCTATTTTTATTTTTTGTGTGGGTTTTTTTGGGACAACCAACATTCCGTGTTACCTCAAATTAAAATATTATCAATCAGAAATAAAAGACTTTGGCGTTTGATGTACAACAAAGACAGATACGGTTATTTTTAACCATCATTGATTAAACCCCTACCAACTGAATCATCCTGCAATATACGTATTACTATGGCCTTTAATAGGATATCAGGACACCGGTGAGATTATTACTGATTATGTATCTAGCGTAATCAAACTTAATGCTGTTAACATTATTGTATTGTTCTTGTTTATCAAGCATGTGACTGTAAGCCTGTATGCGAGTGCAACAATACTTTTGTATTATTCTATTTATATCTACGGATGTGCGTGTTTGTGTGTGTTGGTATATCTGTGTGTTTTGTGTGTGTGAGTGTGTGTATGTGTGTGTTTGTGTGTGTGTGTGTGTGTGTGAGTGTGTGTGTATGTTTGTGTGTGTGTGTGTGTGTGTGTGTGTGTGTGTGTGTGTTTGTGCGCACGTGCGTGTGTGCATTTACAGGATGAAACATCACACTAATGCACCCGGATATGGACTATAAAGACTTATCTCATCTTGTCTTGTCTCTTATTTTTATCTCGAACAATATTTGGCACAGCATTCCTACCCATTCCAGCTCAAGCACACCCACAAGGCACTTTGCCAGCAATAACCCCAACAGTGCGGTCAACCATTCGTGGCACAACTTATCCTCAAATATCTGTTTAACGGGTGAATCAATGACACCCATACTTTGCATAGCAGTTTGTATCAATTTGTTATAACGCAATCATATTTTCTCACAACAGTTGATGCTAGATTTAAAAACCTTTCTTTATAAATTTATATAAAATACTAGAAACCTCCTTCCCGCGGAAATGGAATTGTTCACAGCACTTCCCGGTTCTCACACACATTTTGTATAAACGCATATGGCCTACGTCACAGCTCATCAATGACACTTTTTAGTTGCAAAACTTGTTACAAGAAATTACTTTTATAGTAAACACTTTTTGCAATAGAAACTAAAAGTTAGCAAAAGCTCTCTAGTATGAGATCAAAAAAGTTAATCTCGCGGAAAAAAAAGACGGACTGGCTTTTAAAAGCGATATTGTCCCAGTTGTAAACCTTTTATAATCTGTAGAAACCACCCACTGGGATTTTTTGAATTAGTATTTATTTCGGAATTTCCCAGAATAGAGCTAACAGATGTTTACAAAAATATTGATCTGTTAAGACAAATTGATACAAGTCACTGTGCAAAAGCTGGAGAGTTTATGTTTGTTAGTTGAGGAGATATTTGACAATACGTTGCGCCACGAATTCTTGACCGCGCTTTAGCACCGGTCCACTGTGGTGCGGGAAGACTACTGATTTATCAGCTAGAAACAAGCAGTAATTTCCCAATCTGTAAGAGTAAGAGTAAGAACGCTTTTTTTTTTCTCTCAGCAAGGGACGTAACCGAGGAAATAAGAACGTCATGAAGTAATCCTTGCAAGGTTACTGTCCTCTACAGACGAGTTACCTGCTCATATTCTCCAAATACTCCTGTACTCCCTTTTCTGCCTGTCTGTCTGTCTGTGTGTCTGTATCTCTCTCTCTCTCTCTCTCTCTCTCTCTATATATATATATATATATATATATATATATATATATATATATATATATATATATATATCTTTCTCGCTCCAAATACCGCCGATGGTCTAGTAATTAGACTCTTGGACTCCCAACCGTAAGGTCGTGGGTTTGAGTCCCGTTTCATGTCTCTGGGACGTGTACTTCACACGGATATTCCTTACTTCACCCATGTGGGAATGTGTTCCCAGCTATAGACAGTGATCCTTTTGAATAAGAGGCAAATACCGTGCCTTTAGACCTTGGGGCCCCGCAATATTTCTTTATTTCCATCAAATTACAAGACACATTGTACACATTTCGATATGTACCCACACACACTTTTCAATATGTACACACATGTAACTATATGTAAATACATATTATGTACACACATATCACAATACTAGCTGGGCAGTCGTTCGATGAACGGACTCAAAAGAATCAATCGTAAAGTCAATTAGGAACTAGTGCGCACTGCTTGTGAACGGAATTAAGTCTCACTTGTTTACAATGGCGTCTTAGAAGACGGACTTTCCCAAGATTAAATGTAAACGAAACTAATGAAAAACTGAAAATTAAACTACAGTGACTTCAAACGCCTTGATATAATTGTGCACCCTTTAAATGATTCTAAACCACTGTTAATTTTTGTCAATTCGAAAGATAAGTGGTCGGAAGTTTTTGGTGACCAAAGTGATGAACTTTCTCACATATAATATATTCTATAGATGTGCACACACATTATGATTATATTTACGACATATCACAAAATTATGTTCACACATTCAGATACACTAAAACATCATCATCATCATCATCATCATCATCATCATCATCATCATCATCATCATCATCATCATCATCATCATCATCATCATCAAGTGTCAGATCTGTGACAGACATCGGTGATCATGGTTCGCCATTTATTTCTTTGCTGAGATGCTCTAAAAAAATTTATTTAAAAAAACACCAAAACTATAAAATATTACCGTTATCTTTTCTCGTCACCCATCTGTTTAGACTTGAAGAGTAAGTTGCTCATTACATTTCGCAATACACATCACAATACGTAAACACATATTGCTATACGTATGCACAATTTAATGCAGTAACGTATATTTTTATATCCAGATTTTTCTTCAAAAAAGGAAAGAATCAGATTTTCACGGAAAGAAAGAGTAGTGAGACTGCGTTTTTTGTGTCTGTGTGGCTTTTTGCTTGTGTCTAGATGTGTCTGTGTGTCTGTGTGTCTGTAAGTCTGTGTGTCTGTGTGTCTGTGTGTCTGTGTGTCTGTGTGTCTGTGCGTCTGTGTGTATTTGTGTATGTGTGTCTGGGTCTACGTATAGATGTGTCTATATGTCTGTTTCTCTGATTGAGTCTGTGTTTCTGTGTTTAATGTTATAGTAAGAGTTTTTCGGCGCTCGCTAAAACAAAAAACACAGAAACACATACGCAATCAGAGAGTCTGTCTGTCTGTGCGTCTGTATGTCTCTTTGTCTGTTTCTCTGTGTGTCTGCACGCTGTGCTTGTGTGTCTGTATGTCTACGTGCCTATGCATCTTTGTCTCAATGTGTCTGTGTCTGCACGGGGTGCTTGTGTGTCTGTATGTCTGTGCGTCTGTGCCTCTGCATGTCTGTTTGTCTGTGTGTCTGGTCATAGCTTTATCTGGACGCTTTGACAGCCGGGTACCCGAAGGCGTTCTGAGCCGGCATGTTCACTGTGGACGATAGAAAGAGACCCGGGTTACTCATCATCATAGTGCAGTCACACTTCCGTGGCGTAACTTATCCTCAAATATCTCTTTAACGGGTGAATCAATGTCACCCATACTTTGCACAGCAGTTTGTATCAGGTTGTCTTAATCTAATCACATTTTTCCACAAAAATTGAAGCTAAATTTAAAAACTGTTCTTCATAAATTATATATATATATATACATCACTTCCCGATTCTCACACACATTTTGCATACGCATATTATTCAAGATTAACGGGTAATTTTTCCATTGAAAGAAAGACAAATGAACAAGCTGCAATGCCAATAACTCCACATGCCCAAAAATTGACTAGCGCCTGATTCCATCGCCTCGTGACACAATTATATTATTTGAAAAAACCCAGTGAGATCGGCATGTCAAGGGGCAGGTCGTTTGTTTAACAGTTCAGATGTCCCCGGTTCGAATCCCGTAGGGGATGTGCTTAACCGTTGGTTATCTACTACTGCTACTACTATTACTGCTATTACTACTACTACTACTACTACTACTACTACTACTACTACTACTACTACTACTACTGCTACATTCCGTTACCTGTGGTGGTGGTTGAGACGACCCTCTGTTGAGTTGCCGTGGTGGTTGTGCTCTTGTTTTTGTCGTTTTCCTTGGATGTTTTCGCCCAGGCGGACAGACATGCCCCCAGCACCAACAGGACAGACCCCGTGGCGGTCCCCGCGATGAACGGTGTGCCAGTGTAACTGGGGACAGGAACAAACGTGTTGTGTTTGAAGCTGGTGGGGATTCAAAGATTCAAAGTAAAGTCGTTCTCGCATCCGATCCGGTGGTAATAAGAAAAATCATAAAATAACAGAAAACACAACGTACTTTTAGCGTTCATGCGTTCATAGTATGACCTCATGCAGTTGTGAGCGCCGTAGAACTCTTACTAAACTAAACTAGAGTGCCTTTGCTAAAAGGCTGAGTACACTACTTCAGAATAATAACAATTCTATCTATTGGAAAATAACTGTTAGTACTAATGAGGGACGGTAGATTAATTAGGTCTGGAAATTTTAGGCTATCAACGTGCTTTTTTCACTTACTGAGACAGTTGGGGGGGTTTTCAAATTATCTCCGAAGTGAAAAAATTACTTACACCCCCCCCCCCCCCCCCCACCTGGGGCGGTGCCACAGACTGAAGTGTCTTTAGGACATTCCCAAAGGGGGACATTAACATCTCGAGTTCTTATGCACAGTAAAATTGTATTTGTAAATGGGCTGATTCATCAATGTCACGCTCATAACTGTGCCTGAACTACAACAAGGAACTGCTGCTTTTTCTCTCGTTATCTTTACTATCATCTTTTTTCCTCTACTTCTTTTGTATGTTTGTCACACTCTTCAGACCCGCTATTTCCGGGGTGCCTTGATAGTCGAAGCAGACTTTGTGCTGTTGAGGCAAGAGAGGTGAACAAAGTAAGCCTGATTCCCTGTAAAGACTTCTCTTTTGACCTCCACCCCTTGGCACTCATATGACCTTATGCAATTGAGAGCGCCGTAAAATCTCTACTTGAACTAAACACCCCTTGGCACTCATATGACCTTATGCAATTGAGAGCGCCGTAAAACCTCTACTTGAACTAAACACCCCTTGGCACTCATATGACCTTATGCAATTGAGAGCGCCGTAAAACCTTAGTAAAACAAAATTTTTTTAATGACTTAGGCCAAAAAGGTAGCAGCTTGCCGACATGTAGTCTTGCTATTTGCTGACTCACACAGAACAAAGAGCTGACTCACACAGAACAAAGAACAGAGAACAGAGAGCTACCGAGAGCTGACTCACACAGAACAAAGAGCTGACTCACACAGAACAAAGAGCTGACTCACACAGAACAAAGAGCTGACTCACACAGAACACAGAACAAAGAATAAAGAGCTGACTCACACAGAACAAAGAACAAAGAACAAAGAATGAAGAACAAAGAACAGAGAGCTACCGAGAGCTGACTCACACAGAACAAAGAATAAAGAGCTGACTCACACAGAACAAAGAACAAAGAACAAAGAATGAAGAACAAAGAACAGAGAGCTACCGAGAGCTGACTCACACAGAACAAAGAACAAAGAATAAAGAGCTGACTCACACAGAACAAAGAACAAAGAACAAAGAATGAAGAACAAAGAACAGAGAGCTACCGAGAGCTGACTCACACAGAACAAAGAACAAAGAACAAAGAGCTGACTCACAAAGAACAAAGAACAAAGAGCTACAAAGAGCTGACTCACAAAGGATCGTCCTCACAGCAGGGGTCAGAGGTCACATAAGGCCCACAGCATCCGTTGTCACATGACTTGAAGGACGGGTAGAAGTCGGTGGGTTTACGGTACTCGCAGTCATCTGCACCTGAAAGGAAAACACGTCAGGATGTCGGTCACGGGAACATGGGCCGTACAGATGGGGCTAGTTGCTATAAGCGTAGATGGTGGCGTCGGTGGCCTAGTGGTTAGGCTCTCGGACTCGCAACCCTAAGGTCGTGGGTTCGAATCCCGTCAGGGGCCTGACGTTGTGTCTTTGGGAAAGGCACTTTGCACAAGTTTTCCTCACTTCACCCAGGTGAAAATGGGTACCCGGCTATAGACAGTGAGCGATCTTGTCAGTTTGATAGTGTTTGAGCGCGTGAAATCCGCAGCTTGCACTGTATGCTTCTGCGGAAGCCGAGAATGTTTCTGAGTGTTCTCAGAGGGTGTGCTGGGGTAATAATGGTTGTAAAGCGCATAGAGCATGCTCTTGAGCATGGATATGCGCTGTATAAATGCAATTATTATTATCAATTATTATTTATTTATTTATTTATTCTTTAATTTAATTTATACATTATTATTTTTATCATTATTATCATCATCATCATTATCATTATTGCATACAGCAGATAGTAAAACGGTTAAGACTTGGGTAGTATTTCCAAAATATTTAATGACAAGTTCAACGTTTTGCCCTCAACGGGCTTCATCAGGAACATTCAGACCAAAGGGCGTACATTCATGTCACAACGCAAAGGGTATCATCATCATCATGATCATCATCATCATCATGATCATCATCATCATCATCATCATCATCATCATCGTCATCATCATCATCATCATCATCATCATCATCATCATCATCATCATCATCATCAACAGCATCAGCATCATCAGCATCAGCATCATCAGCATCATCATCATTATTATTACTAGTAATATGATTAATATTCTCTTTAGTTTTAATTATTATAATTTTTTAAATTTTATTTATTGTCGCTATAGACCATATAAATTGACAAACTGACGTAAACAGCCGTATGGGCGGCAGTGATTCAACCGTCAAAGAGATATTGGAGGATAAGTTGTTGACAGTACACTCAGTCCGTCTGAGCACAGTTATCATTGAGTCCTCTAGAATTTGTTTTTATTTTATTTATTTTTTTACTTTTCCCCATTGTTTTCTTTTTGTTGTTTTGTTTTTTGTTGGGTTTTTTTTTTACGGCGCTTGCAACTGCATAAGGTCATATGAGTGTGCAAGACACATTAAATATTTTCAGTTGGTAGGAAATTTTGAATTTTACCCGAGTGGCAGCCGAAGCTTACTCTTATCGATTTTAGACCACCAAGGAATCTTTAACGTGCGCAACTTGCACACGGGACCTTCGAGATTTTAAGCCTTTGTCCGTGAAGGCTAGGTGTAGATATTTCTTACCTGAAGATCAGGGGTGTTGCTGAAAGACAGCTGTAAGAAGGGGCCAAGGAGTAGCAGTTGAAAGGCTGCAAAAAGAGTCAGGAACCCAGAGGAGGGGGCAAAGGAGGTGTGGGGAGTGGGGGCAGAAAGTGGAGACGAAAGCAGACGACAGAATATTGCTAGAGAGCAAGAAAGGAGGTGAAACGAGATAACTTTAGAGAAGAAAATGTTTCGGTCGCTACCCGGATTTGAACACGGAACCTTTGAATGAGAGGCGAACACCTTAACCTCTAGGCCACGAGAGCCCCCGTCAACGGTTTATCCCCCAGCCTGGAACAGCTCTGGCGTCAATTTCACCAAGCGTGTGATTTTCTCGAAATTAGGAGTATCCGGAAGATACCGTGTAACTTTTGTTGTGGAAGTCTTATTCCTTTATTAATAATACAGGATAAGTCAGGATGGATGTTGCACGTTTCTACAAACTTTGTTATTTTTTGGTACTTTTATTCATAACGGTTTTATTGGCGTTCTTTTGGAAGAAATGTTTCCCCTGGTCACTCGGAATGTATGTATATTTGTAAACTCTAGTATGTATGTATGTATATTTGGTCGCTTTTAAGCACAAGGGGGCTATCCCGAAAAATGTTGTTTTGAGAAAATCGAAGGCAAAGTTTTTAGACCCCTGTTCAGTTTCTGTAAAAGACAAGGAGAGTTTTCTCTATACCCAAACAAATATACACACCAATGAAACCAAACTTCTCCTATAGGTAGGGCAATACCTACTTTTGGAGTAGGTCAAGATTTCTGGAAACTTCCGAAATCTGGGTTGGCCCGCTTGTCCGTAAAAGCAACCGTTTCATGTATGCATAATTAATTGTCAAACTAAGTAATCCAATTCTCTGTCTACCTACCTGCACAGACAAGCACGACAAGCAGCAGAAGAAGATTTTTGAGAAGCGACATGTTCCTTCCTGGCTCACTCACAGTCCTGGTCTCGAGTTCCCAAACCTTTCACTTCTCAATGTTTGCTGTCCTTGTCTCAAACTCTGGATTATATACAAGCTGTAACTTGTCTCTAAAAAACAAGCAAACAAAACAAAACTTTAAAAAACTTAACTTCTATCTAGTTTCTGGTTTGATGAGTCCGTTCTTTGGGCTCACAAAGGCTCGTGTTTTTGTGTTGTCCCAGCCTGTGGCCTAAACAATGGGAGCAGTGGGGCGGAGGCTGGCTGGTGGGGGGGGGGCAGGTTTATCAAAGTGACAAAGTGAGACATTACGCAAGATAGAGAGGAGGCCACACACAGAAAGCTGTCCCACGATAGTAACAGGAACAAAACTTCTTTTTCGAGGCGGTATATTACTTTGTATGTAGACAGACAAATTTCTTCGGACACACAATGCAGAAAGAAGCATTAGAGAATATTGTCACAACAGGAAAGTTTGATGGAAAGAGAGGCAGAGGCAGACAGAGGGAAAAGATACTGGACAAGATGACAACATGGTTGGGAGCAGCAAGAACAACAGACACCATTGCTGCAGCGAAGGACAGAGTGAAGTGGAGGTCCATGTTCGCCCACGCCAGTCGGCAAGGCACCGGATGATGATGATATTACACTGACGTTAATACCTATGTTTTCTAGCTATCCTTTTAAAGAAATTAGAAAACTTAGGTGTTAACGTCAATTTAATATCATGGATATGAATTTTTTCTGACCACCCGAACCCAATACGTAAAATTACAACATTCCTCATCGACACACATCACAACAAACACAGGGGCCCCTCAAGGATGTGTTTTGTCACCAGTTTTATTCACACTATACACGAACGATTGTCAAATAAACAACAGTAACATCAAGTTGATCAAATTTGCGGATGGTTCAACCATAATTGGGCTAATTCAGGCTGACCATAACGAAACCGCTTACCGGAATTTTGTACTTAACTTTTCTGAATTGTGTGAAAATTATAAACTGATTTTAATTGTGAAAACAAAATCAAAGAACTTGTTGTTGACTTTCGAAAGAAGAAACTGCCCCTGCAGCCACTCGAAATTAGAAGTAAAAACATCGAGCAAGTGTCAGACTATAAGTATTTGAGTGTTACAATAGACCAAAAAAACTCAACTGGCGTGTCCACACTTCTCTCCTGCATAAAAAAGTGAACAAAATACTTTTTTATCAAAGGAAGCTCATGTATTTTAAAGCTGATAAAATATTGATGTCCATATTCTATCATTCAACAATAGAAAGTATGATCAATCTTTGCATAACAGCATGGGCCGAGAACACAAGATAGCAAGATAAAGAAAAATTAAATCGACTAATACAGAAAGCATGTAAAATTTCAACCTCTACATTCCCCTACTTGGATGAATTGTACATAACAGCTCGCACTAAAAAAAAATGTTATTCCATCTTTTTTAGACAACAAACATCCCTTGTTCCCTCAAATACAAACTTCAGTCAGAAGTAAAAGATCTAGGCTTCTGATCTGTAACAAAGAAAGAAACAGAAGGTCATTTTACCATCATCTATCAAAATTCTTCCATCTTAACCATCTTGTTACAAGTATTCATATGACCTTAGAGCATGCATCAGAATAACATTGAGTTACCGTCAGAATGTATATAAACAATAATGAACTTAAGCTTGATACATACTCATATATATGTATCACGTTTAAGTTCATTATTGTTTACATTATTGTTGTAAAGCGCTCAGAGCCTGTATACTTTAATCAGGGTTGAGCGTTATATATAAATGTCATTTGGATCTACTATTATTATTATTATTATTATTATTATTATTATTATTATTATTATTATTATTATTATTATTATTATTATTATTATTATTATTCATATCCCACGCCCTCAAAGAAAAAACCCGACACGATTTACATTTAAGAACCAGTATTTCGGGATAGCCCCCTTGGGCTTAACAGCTACCATGAGCTGGGTTTTGACCCTGACAGGTAAAACCAACCCCAGGCTGAGAGGGATATGACATCTCAGTAGAAAGACGGAGATAATCGGTAAAAAGTTCTACTCATTCGGGAATCGAACTCAGGTTCTCTGTTTGTGACGGCGAAGCACCTAACTGCTACACCACAGGACGCTGGTTGTGAGGGCGGGGGCACCTAACTGCTACACCACAGGACGCTGGTTGTGAGGGTGGGGCACCTAACTGCTACACCACAGGACGCTGGTTGTGCGGGAGGGAAACTTGTGTCCCGACGTGGTGGAATCAGGCGCTCGTCCATTTTTGCGCATTTGGAGTTATTGGTATCATCTTAAAGCTTGTTCATTTGTCTATCCTTCGATGAAAAAAAAAACCACGTCTATCTTGAATGGAAGTTGAGATATTTGCGATTGAAAAAGGTTGGGGGGTTCATCTGGTTTCAGAGCTAAAGTTGGCGAGAAAACGGCCGCCAAAGTTTGGTAACCACAAGCTTTGGAGGCCTTGAAAACTGAAATTTTACAGATTTTAATCCTTTAATCAACGTTTTTCAGTAAAGTACACGTGGAATGTGTTGTTAACCGAACAAAAAAAAAAGGTGTTGAGCCAAAAAAATACATTCGATAAAAATTGCCAAACTGACGGAAAAATGCCTGGTTCTTGGATTTCATTATTTTAACGAGCTCCTGAGTTCACAACGATGCCTCACAAATTAGTAAGACCGCCCCGATAATATCTGCTGTTGTTAATTGATTCACAGTGACACAGTTGTGAATCACACTTTTGGAGAATCAGTAACGTCTTTTTACGTCAACAATCTGTCAAACGCAGAAGATATTCGGAGACGTCTCCGGTGAGCACCCCCCAGTAATCCCCCGGATTTTGTTTTACCAGGTCCAAAGGCACAAAGCATTTTGATTGGTCTATCTCCGTCGGAGACGTCTCCGAACAGACACTGTGGTCTCCGTGGCAATGAACAGTTTCACAAGGGTACAAAAACAGATTCTAATTTTGGACGAATTGGGCAATCGCGAGTCGAAAAAGACGATAGTGAAACAGTTGATATAGTCAAGAGCATGATAGAAAAGTTTCATTGTTTCATCTAACAGCGTTGTTGGGACTTATCTTATAACGAGTTATCTTTGGTCGTAAAAAGACTTTGCTTATTAACAATGCGTCAAGCATCCTTGTTATTCAAACTTTTTATTTACGATCTTTATCTTTTGTACTTTGGGATTGAGTTTTACTGCCCTTGCAGTACAAAAAGGTCGTATTTTAAGTGCTGAAGATTAGAGGTGTTACTAATGAGTACCGCACAAAAGGGGGAGGAGAGATAAGGGCGATAGACGTTTGATAGATAAAGAAGGAGTACACCACTTCAGAGCACCCGCCACCCACCCAGTTGGCGATCTAAGGTCCACAATAGTGGTAACCAGAGTCTGTAGAGGAGTGGTTAGTCGCCACGTCGTAGCACACAGCAGTCCGGAGTTCGATTCTCCTAACGGGAAGATTTTTCACTAGCACTAGAAGAACTTTGCCCGCCTGTTGGGATGTTGTGTGTCTCTCACCTTGGGCAGGCCATGCCAGGTAGCAATGAAGCACCCCGCCTCCTAAATTACCTAAATAGTGCTGATGTTGGCGTGAAACACCAACAATTACAATTTTGCAGCAGTTCTAAGCTGCTTTTGTTTTTGTTTTATTTTGCAACGAAACGACCTGTATCAGTGGAGTAACAGGTAGGACATAATTTTCTTCACCATTACAAGCAGTTTGAGTCCGCGAGGGGGGGGGGACGGGGATATTGTCTATTTCACCGAGTACCTCCGTCATTCTGCAGGGATGCCCGATCCTTCTCCACCCGGGTTGACCCTGACAGTCACGCTTGTAGCAGCCCGCCTCCTAAATTATCTACCGTGTGTCGGCAGACGTGAATGTTGTTGTTGTTGTTGTTGTTGTTGTTAGCGATCCAGGAGCATCTGAGCGTTAACTCTTCTGCATGATGCCATTCGGTAATAGCTGCATGTCTGTTCTAATTGTTGTCTTGAGGAGTAGAGGCAGTTAGATGTGTGGGGTAGCTTGGGAAGAAAACATCCCCTTAAATCAGTTAGTTTTCTACAGAAAGCTTCCAATCCAACGATCAAAGACTACAGCGGTGTATCATTGTATTTCAATGTAATGAACTGTATGTGAGGCGTGCTGACAAAACAAGTTACTTCTCACAATCCACAAATGGAGATATTGGCCAAAAATCGATACTAGGGTGAAATTTGTATAATATTTATTTTCTATTGATGTTACATTCTTTAAGTATAATTAGCCTTTAATTATTCCATACTTATAAATTGCCAAAACTTTACCTATAAGCGTGGCGTAAATATTTCCCTGGGTCTCGAATCCAAGATGTAACTCATTTTGTGAGCACGCTTCACGTATACTGGAGTCGGTGAAACTCTTCACTGTTTTGTTTTTTTAGTAGATGTTTTACGGCGCTCGCAACTGCATAAGGTCATATGAGCGCCAGAAGATTAGAGGTGCTACAAGAGAGTAACAAACATAAAAAGAAGAAGGAGGGGAGATAAGGACGATAGATGTGTGATAGGAAAGAAGGAGCAAACTACACCAGAGCACCCGAAAACCACCCACTCTTCACTATAATAGATAGCATTTGTATAGCGCAAATCCCCGCTCAACAGCAAGTTCTATGCGCTTCACAATCTATACTATTACCCCACCAGACCTGAGAGCATTCTGAAACAAACTCAACTTCCTGGGAAGCATACAGTGTAAGCAGTCATTTATAGGCGCTAAAACACTAACATACTGACAAAATCTTTCACTATCTATGGCCGGGTACCCATTCCCACTTGGGTGAAGTGAGGAAAATTCGTGTAAAGTCGGGCCCGCGGCTCGAACTCCCGACCCCGCAACCTCACGATTACGAGTCCGGTAGCCTAACCACTAGACCACCGACAACCTCACGATTACGAGTCCGGTGACCTAACCACTAGGCCATCGACAACCTCACGATTACGAGTCCGGTAACCTAACCACTAGACCACCGACAACCTCACGATTACGAGTCCGGTAAC